CAGGAGAATGGCGTGAACCTGGGAGGCGGAGCTTGCAGTGAGCCAAGATCGTGCCACTGCACTCCAGCCTGGGCGACAGAATGAGACTCTGTCTCAAAAAAACAAACAAAAACAAAAACAAACAAAAAAATAAGTACACTGGAGAGAAATAAAGCAGTGGAGGTGGGGGTTCTGATGGGATGGAGAGGTGTTGCGTTTTTAAATGGAGAGCTTCCTGAGTGGGTGAAATTGTAGGGGAGACTTGGAGGAAGTGAGGGGTTTGGCCAAGCAGGCGCCTGAGGGATAAGTGCTCCTGAGGGAAGGAACAGAAGGTGCAGAGGCCCTGGCAGAAGCGTGCCTGTGTTGTGGGGCAGGGAGGAGCCACTGTGGCTGGAGGAGGGTCGGGGAGGGGAGGTCCCAGGCTCCCATGTACACATGTACGCATGTATTCATTCATTAATTTCACATCTACCCAGCCCCACCAGGGGTCAGGCTCTGAGTATCTGTACCTCCCACCCCCACCCTGCCCAACACACAGGCCTGGGAGGGGCTGGCCCACCTGAAACACGATCCTGGATTTCTCAAGCAGATACTGGGAGGTTATGGCACCAGAGATCACGCCCCTGGGGTGGGGAGAACAGTCAGCTCTCAGTGGGGGTAGGAGGGCTGGTGTTGGCTCAGGGGCTGTGGCGGGACATGGAAGACACTGCAAAGCTTTTGGGAGGCCCTCCACTGTCCCAACTCACCCTTCCAGAAAGATTTCCATGAACTTCCCAAAGCGGCTGGAGTTGTCGTTCCTGACGGTTTTGGCATTACCGAAGGACTCCAAGAGGGGTGTTGCCTCCAGGATCTGGACTCCAGAAGGAGATGTGGGAATTGAGGGGCCAGGCACTGTTCTGGGGGCCTGGGTGGGAGGCTTAGCTGGGGACACCCAGACACGGGCCTCCCCAAGGACCTCCCTTGATGAGGGGTGACCAGAGGTGGGCTCCCTAGAGAATCCTGAGGTCTCTCCAGTGTCCCCTAGGGTCCCCCACCCCATGCTGCCCAACTCCCACACAGCAAGTCCCATGCTTTCCCTCTCCCAGCCTTCCAGCCTCCATGGTCCCCCACGGCAGCCCCTGACCACAAGCCCCTGCCCAGCCCAGGACAGGCCTTTGGATGTCCCTTCCTGCCTGTCCCTCCACCCACACAGGCGCAGGCACATCCACACACATTTTCCCGGACACACACACACACACACACACACAGAGTACCTTTATCTTCAAGAGCGCCCAGGAGGGAGGACAAAGAGAGAGACAAGAACAGAATGGAGTCACTAGCAGGACCGACCACTTCTCTCTCCAGGAGACTAGGAGCCTCAGACCAGGGAGGGACTAGCAAAAACCTGTGAGGCTCAGAGACCCCAGGGGTCCAGGCTTGGGGACTGCCATGGGGTCTCCAAGGTATGAAAATATGCTGAGTCTGCCTTCCAAATGGCTCTGGGGATGTCCTCTTCTCCCCTCCGCCATGGCTACTACCTGCCAAGGATCCCTGAACCTCTGCCCTGGCCTTCCTCACTGTTCTCTGACACCCAGGCCCACTTCTGCCTCTGACCATTGGCATATCCTGTTCCCTCTGCTTAGACGCCACTGCTCCCACGCACCCGCATGCCCCCCCAACCTCACCTCTCACAGGAAGGCCACTAGAATTCTCTCCCCGGTAGCCCTTAGCCCCATTGGCAAACTCTCTATTTTCTTGGGTATTGTCTGTCTGCCCACTAGACTGTCAAATCCTACAACCACGGATCTCTGAGTCCCCAGCATCTAAACGGACCTGGTGCTTAGTAGGCCCTCAAAAAATATCTGCTAAAGGGATGGAAAAAGGAATAGCATTGGCCCGGCATGGTGGCTCACGCCTGTAATTCCAGAACTTTGGGAGACCGAGGTGGGCAGATCACGAGGCCAGGAGATCGAGACCATCCTGACCAACATGGTGAAACTCTGTCTCTACTAAAAATACAAAAAATTAGCTGGGCGTGGTGGTGCCCACCTGTAGTCCCAGCTACTCGGGAGGCTGAGGCAGGAGAATTGCTTGAACCTGGGAGGCAGAGGTTGCAGTGAGCCAAGATTGCACCACTGCACTCCAGCCTGGCGACAGAGCGAGACTGTCTAAAACAAAAATAAAAACAAAACAAAAACAAACAAAAACAACAAAAAAGGAATAGCATCTCATGGGCAGAGCTGCCTAAAGGTGACCATGGCTGATCGCAAGCTCCCACCTATTTAAGCACCTACTGTGTGCCAGACACATTGCCCTGATAATGCCGTTGTTAACAATCCCATGAGGTAGGTACTAATATCACCCCTGTATTGCAGATTAGGAAACTGAAGCTTAAAGAGAGGTGAAATGACATGCCCAGGGACTCCAGAATCCACTCGAGTGATGAGCATGGGCCTAGTGTGTACATGGCACCTTCTTTAGCTGAGGCACTTCCTCAGGATAATCTTTTAGGGAAGAAGCAAAGGAGGTCCAGTCACCACAGAAACAACACTTGTAATTTTTGGGATGGGGCCAGTTCCTTCCATCTGTCCCATTTAGTCCAGGAAATACTGCACCCATTGTATAAAGGAGTAAACTGAGGTCCAGAGAGGGATGGGGGCTGGCCTGTGATTGTTCAATGAGTCAAGGTCTGCCTGGGCTTTCCTGTGTACTATCCCTTAGTCTGGGAAGCCCTTGAGGACAGGCTGGCTGCTTCTCTGTTCCTGGTGCCCAGCATACAGCAGGGCAGAAAGCCAGGGGATAGAGTGGGTGAACACTGGAGGGGTGGAACCTGTGGTCCAGGCCTCAGTCAGTCAGGGCAGAGCATTCCCCATGCTACGTGATTGGTTTCAGTTAGGACATACGACCAAAACTTGCCCAGTGAGATGGAGCTCTGAATGTTTCATTTCTGAAATGTTGGGAGGGTTGATCATTATGGTGCCAGCTTCCTGACCAATGGGAGTCAGGCTGAGGATGATGCCCATACATGGGGGAGGGTGGAGCCAAGACAAGAGACATTGTCTAAGATTCTGGATCTAGCCATGCCTAAAACTGACCCTAGAACTGGACTGTTTGATTATCTGAGGAGAGGAGAGCCATGTCTAGGAAAGGAGCCCCATGGTCATCACAGCTGGCAGGCCTGTCCTCACACATTCTGTGTACCTGGCACACAGAAACTCCCAGACTCAGCCACATCCACAGCTCCATCCGTCCTCCCTGACGGCTCTCTGCCATGGACTGCAAATCCAAGCTCCTGCACCACTTCACTCCTCCCTTCTTAGGCCTCAGTGTTCCCATCTATAAATGGACACAAATGTACCTGCCTCCCACGGTTGCCGTAAAGCTCTGGTGTGACGATAACTGAAGGAACCCAGCACTGTGCCTGGCCACAGGAGGTGCACAAGGTACACTTATTTCTTTTTTCTTTTTTTTTTTTTTTTTTTTTGAGACGGAGTCTCGCGCTGTGTCACCCAGACTGGAGTGCAGTGGCCGGATCTCAGCTCACTGCAAGCTCCGCCTCCCAGGTTCACGCCATTCTCCTGCCTCAGCCTCCCGAGTAGCTGGGACTACAGGCGTCCGCCACATCGCCCGGCTAGTTTTTTGTATTTTTTTTTTTTTTTTTTTTGAGACGGAGTCTCGCGCTGTGTCACCCAGACTGGAGTGCAGTGGCCGGATCTCAGCTCACTGCAAGCTCCGCCTCCCAGGTTCACGCCATTCTCCTGCCTCAGCCTCCCGAGTAGCTGGGACTACAGGCGTCCGCCACATCGCCCGGCTAGTTTTTTGTATTTTTTAGTAGAAACGGGGTTTCACCGTGTTAGCCAGGATAGTCTCGATCTCCTGACCTCGTGATCCACCCGTCTTGGCCTCCCAAAGTGCTGGGATTACAGGCTTGAGCCACCGCGCCCGGCCGGTACACTTATTTCTTTCCCTGCCTACCTAGCTAGTCATGCCACAAATCTGACCTGAAAGGTTTTGAAAACTGTGCTTGGAGCAAGGGATGATCTGTTTGGTCATCAGGAGGCCTGGACTGGGATGGGAGAGCCTGGCAGGCCAAGGCAGGCATCAGAGGGGCCCAGGCCAGGCTAGAACCTGACGGCAAAGCCTGAGCAGCCCCCGCCTATGCCCCCGGATCACCTTGCTGGGTTCACCACTGGCTAGGACATTGTGGCCATGTGCAAACCTTCGTGGGCCCCAGGGTTGGGGAAGTCTGGGTCTGTGGTTCTGAAGTCTGAGCTGGCAGGCCAGCCCCGCCTTCTCCTGAGCTCCAGGCTGGTGATGCATCCATCACCTCTCTGCCATCTCTGTGCATATGCCTAGCAGACACCTCTTCTCAACAAACCTGCTCTTCCCTCCACTGCCCAGCCTGCCTCTGTGCCGCCTGTGGGTCAGACCAAATGTCTGGGGTCACCCTCCGACAATTCTCCCTCTCACACCCCAGTCTGTCTTCTGTAGGCTGCTGGCTGGCTTTGACCTGTACCTGGACCCAACCTGCTTGCACCTCAGGGCCTTTGCAGGCACTCCTCCCTCTGCCTCTTCACTGTTCCCCTAGACATTCCCAGAGCCCACTCTCTTGTCTTCTCTGTACAGCCTACCCTGACCACCACACTTATGATTGCAACCCCCAACACTCCCCACCCTTCTCTCCACTTTTTTCCTCCGCAACTCACCATCTACCCTTTCACGTACATATAATTTACTTGTATATAAGTGTATATATATTTTTCTTCCTGCCTCCTCCACTAAAGTTCCCATGAGGGTGTGAACATTTGCCTGAGTTGCCGCTACTCGTCCCCAGTGCCTAACCTGGGCCTCACAAACAGTAGGTCTTCAGTAGATCTTTACTGAGGGAACAGATGGGGTTCTACCATGCTCAGGCTCAGAGAGCTTAGCACTGTCTTTATCAGCAAAGTTCCCATCCTGCAGACTCTGACTTGGCATCTACTGCCTAACCCACACTCAGGCCTGCCCTGCCTCTTGATAGCTGGGGGCTGCATAGCTTCTGAGTGTGAGAATATAGTGGCTCCAGGGCCATGACCAGGAAAGTGAGGCCAGGTGGGAGAGATGGGATGACTCCCCTTCCCTATGTGGTCTCCACTGTGAACTGGACCTGGAGGGCTGGAACCAGGAGCTGCCACGGAAGCATAGGTAGGCACACCCCTGGGATTGGGGGCAGAAAAAGCAGCCCTGGGCAAGGCCCCCTTCTGGGCAAGTTCCTTCTGGAACTCAGCCTCCCCATCTTTCTAGTGGGCCAAGGAGCCATGCCTCTTGGGGAGTACCTGAGGTGTGCTTATCAAAGGGTGCTCAACCTAGGGTCCTGGGGAGACAAGTAGACTCACCTGCTGCATGACATCCCGTTTCTGGTTCATGGCGGCCAGGTAGCGCAGAATCAGCTTGGTGGCCTCAGTTTTGCCAGAGCCGCTCTCTCCACTGACCGAGCAAAGGGGCAGAGTGAGTTCCAACCTTTCACTGCCTCTTCTGGTGCACCCTGACCCCCATCATGAAGCAAGAGGCTATGTGCAGCAGGCCAACCCAGCGGTATCAGGCAATCTTCCAAGTTCCCACAGCAGTTCTGGCCAGATGCAGGCCTGCTACCTAAGGTCCCCCATTTATCCCCCACGTAAAGGCAGCCCGCTCACCTGATGATTATGCACTGGTTCTGTTTGGCATCGAGCATTTTGGCGAAGGCGAGATTTGCAATAGCAAAGAGGTGCCTGGGGAGAAAGGTCATTGGAGCCGGCCCCTGCCTCTAAGCTCCCAAACCTCCCAGGGACTGGGCAGGGAGCATCCGTATCCAGTCAAACAGCCAATCCGGCCCACCCCTCACCCTGTTGGGGGAATGCTCCCACCCCCATCCTGGTCTGAACCACAGTGCCCTCCAACCTGTGGCTGCGGCCTTGCCTGGGGAGAGACTGTCAGATTGAGTAGGTGGGCTGCCTTTCCCCATTTACCTCTGACTCATGGCTGGGGTGCAGCTGGGATCCAGGCTCCCACAGCAGGGGAAAGACGGGCCCAAGAGACCCCACGGCAGCCCCGCCCCGCCCCTGAGACACTCACGGGGGATTCTCTCCCAGGGTCCGCCCATTGTACTGCTGCACCTGCTCCGGCCCATAGATTCCAAACATTTGGTATGGGTTCACCGACACCAGGATGCTCCCGATGTATGTCTGCTGGGCAGACGGTGGCCTCAGCGTCATGGCTCCTTGCAGACCTGTGTCCCTCCTTCCCCTACGCTGGAAGCTTGGCTCCCTGTTTCCATCTGAACAGATATCTGGCTGCCTGGACTCAGGATTCCCATCTAGAGCCCTCTACCAGCTTGCTGGGCTATGTGCTCTAACAGTGGAATCTCAGGCACTGCAGCAGGCTGAGCTGAGAGGAGTCTGGAGTGAGTAAAACCCCACAGCCACGATCCTGGGTGGGCTTCTGCCTACTTCATTTGTTCATAGTTGGAACCAGGCTCCAGGAACTTTTGGCTCCTGTTGAGGGCAAACCTCCACTGCCTGGAGTGGGTAGTTGGGGAACTCAGGGGATCCTGATGTGGCCAGAGCCCTTCCGGGTGTCCTTGTCTTCCACACTGGCTCTGGGCCCCTGGCCCTCTGTTCTGTCATTGTGAGGTCAGAGGCTCCCCTCCAACCCCTCTGACCGTCCCCACTCTGGGGTCCGGGTCTATGGATTCTAGGACTCTGGAAGTTCTATCTGTCAGGTCCCGGGTAGTGGGGGTGTCGCGTATTTCTGGATTCTCTGTCTCCAGCTTTCTGCCTCTGGCATCCACCATTCTAAGACTGTGTTTTAAGACTTCAGATTTTAGTTCTAGGCTCTGGCATTCTATGCTGAAGTGACAGAAACTCAGAGTTCAAACCAGAGGCCACAGGGGCTAGGGCCCACAAGAGAAATCTGTGCATCCCACCCGGCCCCAGGAGGCAGCTGCCTTCCTGACCTAGGCCCAGGGCAGGGCCAGCCCTAGGTCTTACGTAGATGAGGTTCCGTTCAAATCTAATCTTGAGGTTGGACAGCACAGTGGTTTCCTGGAGGTCTCTAGAAGGGCACAGAGAGAAGCTGTCAGCGCCCCCAGGGCTGGTTCTGGCATGAGTCTCCCTCCCCGACTCAGTGCAGTGCCTTGATCAGATAGGCCTGAGTTCAAGTCCTGTTTCTGACACCAACCAGTTAGGAGACCTTGGGCAAATTACTTCACCTGTCTGTGCCTGTTTCTTTATTTGTCCAATGGGTATGATAATCATTGTACCTACTTCATTGGGGGTTTGGGGGACACTCTTACGTAATCACCATGATTAGATAATGATGTTGACAAACATGGCCCTCTTGTTTTGAGCACCTCCAATGTGCCGGCATCCTCACCACAGCCATCCCACTCCCATTTTGTGGATGAGAAACTGAAGTGCAGAGAAGCAAAGCGATTTGTCCAAGGTCTGCCAGCTAGTGAGTGGTGGGGCTAGGATTTGAACCAAAGTCCATCTAACTCACAAAGCACACCACATTTAGTCTTTGTGACACTTCATGACTGAGGCTCTGAAAATGTCCTGGGAGGTGAGAGGCAACTGCAGGAGGAGCCGCTCTGGTTGGGAGGGTGGGGACCCCATGGTGACACCTTGCTGACCCCACCAGCCCTGCCCACTCACTCCAGCTGTGTCATGTCCTCCACACCATCCTCCCTGTGCTGCTCGCGGAACCGCACAGATGGCAGGTTTCGGATGGAGTGCATCTGTGTGAGAGAGAGACTGCGTCTGCAGTTTGAAGGGTGCCCCCAGCCCCCACTGGCCCCTGGCTTGGTCATACCTGGGGCCTGCTACCATTGTTGGGGAGGGAATCCCAAGGCCAGGTGGGTCCTGCAAGTCTCCTCATTACAGAATGCTGTGGCCCCTGGAACCTGCATGCAACCCTCACACATGAGACACACGCATGCCCTCAGTGCCCAGGCAGGCGCTCCCATGAGCTCCTAAGTGTCCTGCCCTGGGGGGTGAACAAAGGCATGAGCAGGTACATGGGTGCACGTGCCAGCTCCCTCCCAACTGCAGCTGTCTCAGCACCAGCAGACCCCATGTGTTGGTTTGTGTGACAACTCAAAAGGACACTTGTGACCTGACGCATGGGGCCTCCAGCAGGGCAGAGATGGAGACTGTCTTAGCACCACACACCCATGCTCATCCCGGGGAAAATGTGTGGACACCTGCATATGAACCCACACTGAATGGCATTTACAGCTCATACAACTCCCAGGCACACAGGTGTTCTTGTAGGCCTGTGGGCACATATGCAAGCCTGTGGGGCCCGGCTGGAGGCACAAAGTGTGCAGGCACATGCTCTACCTGTCCACTTGGCACATACATCTGGGTGCACAGCTGGGTCCCTCCCTACCCTGCGGGTCTGGAGAATGGAAGTTCTGATGCCACCTTTGGGCTGCAGGGTCTCCTCTCTGCACGCACATCCGTGCACATGGGCAGAGGGTGGGCAAACAACCCTGACCCCCAGGGATGCCACATCTGCTCAGACCTCATACACTAGCTTTCGTCATTTGGCCATGGTACACACGTGCACACATGCTCAGGCATGCAGGCCTGCGCAGGATCCACACGACTGGGAGCACACACGTGCACCCTCAGCCTCTCCAATCCCAGCAGCACCCTGAGCAGGCGAGGAAAGAGGACACCAGGAGGGAGGCCTGCATGCCTGTCACTGGGCTGCTAAGTAGGGCACAGCGAGTATCACCTTTTCTGCCCTGGCCTCTAGCCCACCCATCTGCCCACGTGCTTGCCAGCAGTCTCAGACCCTGAATAATTCAGCCACTCACGTATTCCAGGGTGAGGAGGGCCCAGGCATCCTTGCCCCTCACCCCTAGGCGCCCTGCGCCCCGCTCCCGCAATGCTGCAGCCCACATGGCACGGGGCACCCGCCGCCGGGGCCAGGGCCCCCCCAGCAGCCAGGCTGCCCCAGTTGCCATTGTTGGGCCCGGCTGGCTGCCCGCTCCGCTGGGCACGGTCTGCACAGGCTGAGACGCACCTGCCGCCCCTGCTTGCCCCGCCCACCACCCCAGCATCCCGGGAGAGGCTCCGGTGACCACGCACCCCGGCCAAGGGCCACCCAGCATCAGGCTCGAGTTCCATCTTGAGTGTGGCAGCCAGGCATGGGCTGGGCACTCCTCAGAAGGGCTGCCTACCCTGTACCCGACATGGGGTTCCAGAAGGACTCCTGGTTCAGTTTTCCCTCTGTGCAATGAGGAGGCTGGAGGGTTGGATCCTGAGCCCCTCACCCTGACCTATTCCAGAATCCTGCAGCCCAGGGGACTTCAAAGGGCAGCAAAAACCTTGAGGAAAGGGGAGGCTCTAATTTGGGGCAGGGTCAGTAGGAGACAGGAGGAACCGCACAGACCTGGATGTGCGGTGGAACAGGATGGATAGGCATGTCCTGCAGTTTCACATCTGGCTTGGCTAAAATCTCTGAGGGGAAGTTAGGGCCAGACCTGCCATCCAGATTGGATCAGGGCAGGGTTGCCCAGGGCCCAGGCTGAGATGAACAAAGATCCTTCCCCAGAGCGACCTGGAAGCAGTTTCCCACGTCTCTGTCCTGTGCCTGCCTGTGCTGGGCATCCCCTTGTTCAACCCTCTAGAGGTTCTGGGAGCGACTGTTCTCCCCAACTTACAGGCCCCAGTAGGCAGCCGCTCTCCAAGGTTGCACAGGGCTCCTCAGGCTGTCTCTCTTGCCCTGTTTTCTAGGCCAGAACCCTCAAACCCTCCCTGTAATCTGTGCCCCCATACCTTGTTCCGCCAGCTTGGGGGGCCGACCTCTTCCCAGGAGCCCTTAAGGGAGAAGCAGGCGGCTCCAGGGCCCAGGTGGCAGGACTGGGGGTGGGCGTCTACTTGTGGCCTGGGTCCACAGGCATCTGCCCGAAGCCAGAGGCAGGACCAGCGAAGACCCCAGGCTCTTGGCTTGGGGTCCTGGGTTGGCTGGACTCCAGGCTTCAGGGCTGCCGGCCCAACTCGCTGGAAAGAGCTCAGCTTCTGCACACGAGGCATGACCACAGCAAAACGCCCAGGGGCTGCCTGGCGCCGCTCGCCCCCCTTGGGCAGGGGCTCTGGGGCCCTGGTGGGTGCCAAGGGGGCTGCGGTTTGGGGCAGTGTCCCCCAGCGGTGCCA